TTTCAGAGATCCGTGGTTCGATTCCCGGCGTTGCATATTTTTCATCTTTTCTGCTTCTAAAAAAATCCTAATGACTCTACAAATTAACTAAATTAAGAAATTAACATAATTAAAAAATTAAGTAATTAAGAAATGCTCAAAAATTGCTTAAATACTAATACAGTGTAATCAATTTAATTATTATTCATTGGCTACTTCATTAGGACAATTTATTTTAGCTACAAAAATTTAGTCCAGCTTAAATATTAATATACTCATTTTAAAACAAATTTAATTTACTCTCTATTATATTGCATTTTTAGCAGAATAACAGATCTTCAGCAATCAAACAAATACAAACGGGAAGTAATTTTAGTCTATTGAAAACTTCTCAGAAACGATATGCGAGAAAAATGGTTTAAGTCTTCTCCATACAAAAAGGGATTTAATTTATACATATATATTTATGCTTGTCAAAACATTTCTAAACCGTTTGGAATCATATTTACTAATTTTTCAAAACGAAGAAAATCCTCAAACATCCTTAGAAAAAATACACTTTCAACACAAAGTAAAAATCTCATAGTCGAAAATATAATACAACCGCGTAACAACTTTCTTTGATATTTTCATAATGAATGATAATTACGAAATACAAAAAAAAAATTAACTATCACCATAATACATGGGTCATTATCTCGAAATATATTTTGTTCTGACGGATTGTCAGAAGAAATTCAAATTTGAAGAAATAGCATTAACTATTTTCTGACGAAATAGATTAATCTGGAATCCAATTATACTTTATTATTTTTCCGGAAATAACTAGAATACAGAAAATTAACTTATTACAGAAGAAAGACTGTTTACTTGAAACGAATAAAAGTTTCGAAGGACGAGACGAAAAAAACAATTAATATTCCTGTATGTATTTTTTCAGAGTTTTGATGGGCGCGATATACACAGGCTTCTAATATGAGACTGGATAAATTAATATAACCTCCTTACTGAAGAGCTTTTAATTATACTACAGATATTGCTTTAGTTTTATTCAAATTAAATAAATGTTATTGAGTTTTCATATAACAGGCAATTGATGAGAAATTCAGAATGCAAATATTACATTTACTTCTGTAAAAAGAATAATTTTCATTCTGAAGTACCTTAAAAGAATGCTTATGTATTCAACAGAAAAAAGACAAGTTTAAATGAAGAAGCACGCCCTTTTTCTTATTTTGTAGTTACTTCCTCATTTTTCTTGAAGAATCTCAACTTCCTACGGTTGATTTGGCAGCATTAATTACTAGTTTCTAACGCACTAAGTACAGCACATAATAGTTAATAAACGTAGTGCATATATATAAACAAAGTACATTTTAACTCCAAAGTATTAGCGTTATTTACTATATTATAAAAAATAATGCTACTCTCAGTTTAACCTTTTGTAATCTTGTCTTTGATTTAAATCCAATGCAGTTACATTTATATGCTCATGACTCAGTTTAACCACAGGCACAGGATTCACAGGCACTAGAGGCCACAGGCATTATGTTATTTTAGCACATATTCAACAATAGGTCCTCTGTTAAGAAAAATAGTATTTTAAAATTTTTGTTTTTACTTCGAATATCCATTTTATGTACGAGTAAATGACGTTAAGATGGTTAGAAGTATGGAATATGTGCAATTTCATAAATTCGTTCAATAATAATAAATATCTTTTCTAGCTTCGAATCACAATTAAAGACCTGACGGACCCCCCGTGGTCCACAGTCATTAGTAGGCAATCAACAAAACAAATCAATCAAAACAATCAATCAAAAACATATTGTATTATTATTTATGTTAATTTTACTCATTTAAGTACTTTTAAGCGAATAAAAATAAAAGTTTAATTTTATAGAAGTAAATTGCAAGTCTCCTCCTGCTCTCTTTACTTAATTCTATATTTAATTTTTGTTTGGGATCACGAGAATGGGGTAATTTTAGAAGTCAAACAACAAAAATTTAGTGTTATATTTGCAAATTTTCCACGACTTTCCTTCCATCACACTTCAAGTCATGTCATTCGACTGAACACAAGTGAGTTTTATTTTATTCCTTTGTTTTCCCTGCACATCAAGTTTGCTCCTCCAACTTGGCTCTTGAACAACGACTAAATTATTTAAAATCAGTTGCTATTGGCATGGGGTTTCACCGAAAATTATTAACAAAGCAGTTAAAAAAATCTCATCTCAACACACCAAAAGGTGCACGCTTGTTTTAGGATGTTATAAGAATTCTGTTGTCATCCTTTCCATCAATTAGCTATAAAATTGCACGTATTTTAGAAAAATTTAACTTTTAGGACGTTTAATCTCCTATCAATAAAATTCCCAGTTCCGGATGTCCCCATTCCAGATATGAATTCCTAAGGTATTTCCAGGATTCCTTACCTGTCTGGTTTAATTTACATTGGTCAAACTAAGAAAGCCATAAAATTTCGCGTTAAAGAACATGACGTATATGTTATAAAAAAGGAATCCCAGAAGTCCTCTGTTGCCCAGCACTATTTGTCTGAAAATCACACTTTAAAATTTTTTGCAGCCAAAATTATTCAAAAAACATCTTCCATTGGTGAATTAGATTTCCTAGAGGCGTTTGATATTCAAAAATATCTCTCTGTTCTAGTTAATGAGCCTAATTCCAATTCATATTTAACTTCAGCCTTCAAAGAAATTACGTTTTAGTTTTCTTGTTTCTTCAATAGGTGGCGCCAGTAGCTTAACTATGCTTAACTACTGGCCAGCCATTCTTAACTCATCTTATCTTATTATTATTATATTATTCGTTCATTTGCAGTTTGGCAGCTGAGGGAGTTGGTTCGGTATTTAAACCATAGAAACTAGTCCTTGAAAATTTGCAAATTTAACGCTGATTTGTTGGTTACCTTTTAAAATAATCGTTACTTGGCGTGCCATTTTAATCTAAATTAAAGCATCGGTTTCTTTATTGAAAAAAATTGAACTGCCAATAATATTAAACTCATGGAAATAATATCAAGGAACTACTTATAAACATAATAAGATATAATAATTGATAATAGGATATTAGTTAAGTTTCTATGTCTGACTTTAATTTTTAGTGAATTTATAGCATATTTTGAAAGTGATGTTTGAAATATGTTGAGGACGAAAAAGGAGACTAAATATTTCGCGTCAAGGAACACGCAACTTATATCCGAAAAGAGAAAATAAATAAGTTCTTTCAAATTTGCTTTTTGCTTTTGCAAAATTGTCTATAAATTTTCTTCTGTTGGTGAACTGAGTTTCTCTGAAGCTTTTCGCATTCACAAAAATTTACCTTTCTTAGTTAAAGACAGGACAGGAAAAAATGTAAAGAGCACATAGGCATCGCCATGGGCTAAAAAGGTCTCCAAAACACAATCCAGCAGTGTCTAGAGCAGTGTTTCCCAAACTTTTTTTCTTCGTGAACCAAAAGAAAGGTCCGAAAAAATTTGACGAACCCCCTATGTAGTCGTTAATGACAGGTAAAAAAAAGCAATAAAATTTGATAGAATATATATATTTCATATTGCAGAATAATTGATTATATTAATAAAACTAAAATGATGGCTATAAAAGTTGAAAACAAGATAAATTTAACAAACTGGTTCTTATGTTTTACATTTGGAAAAACTCTTAATGGGATATTTGTGGCTGTTTCATAGAACAAAGAAATTCAAAGTTAGGCTCAATATCTGACAAATTCAGTCTTAGATCAGGTTCTGCATTTAACCTGTTTCTGTATTTATCTTTCAGATATGTTGAAAATCCTTTCTCGCATAGATATGTTGTGCAAAATGGCTTTTTTTGACAGAACAGGATATTCATTTTGTATACTGAGCCAGAAGTCAATTAAAGATTGATCTTTAAAAATTGCTTCTAGAGAACTGTCACAAGATAACTCTATGAGTTTTTCTTTTTCCAGTATATTTAGAGAGGTTTCTGAACTTACATTTCCTTGAAATGGATTACGTATCCAGTTGTTTGAGATGGATATATTGCATCTGTTGGGAAAATAGTCATCGAAAGTTAATCGAAGATAGTTCAGATGTTCACATATACTCCTTTTAATGTTTTCGTCAAGTTTAATTGAATTTTCTGATAAAAAAGTGCTGACAGAATCGAAACATCCATACTCATTCATCTGCAGGCATTGAATCCAAAAATTGATCTTTTTCAACATAGCCTCAATTCTATCATGTACACTGAAAATGGTGACACCCTCGCCTTGTAAAGACATATTTAATTCATTCAGTTTACAAAAAATGTCAGCTAAATACGCAAGCTTTTGCAGCCAAAGAACATCGGATATACAAGAAGACAAATGAAACGGATGATCAATAAAAAATGCTTGAACTTGGGATTTCAATTCAAACAAACGCGTAAAAACTTTACTACGGGAAGGACATCTAACTTCTGTGTGAAGTAGTCAAACTTTATGACACCTTTCTGTGTGCCAAGAATGGAAAACATTTCATTTAAAATTTCGAAAGCCATCTAATGTCCCCTCTTGCCCACCCTGTGTGAAGTAGTAAAGAAATGTGGAAACTTCCAAAATCCTCACAAAGCGTACCGAATAGATGGCAATTTGTAGCACGCGATTTTATAAAGTTCAAAATTTTCACAGCATCACCTTAAGTAGTAGATAACTCTTCAGGAATACGCTTACATACTAAAGCTTGTCTATGAATACAACAATGAGTCCATTGAATTTTCTCGTTGATCTTCTTCACCCGTGCCACAAAACCAGAAAATTTTCCTGTCATTGATTTTGCACCATCTGTACACACACCCACACAATAAGACCAGCTTATTCCATTCTTTTCAAAATACCCATTGATCATATCGAAAATCGCTTCTCCAGTTGTGTAGGTTTTCAAAGGTTTTGCAAATAGTACATCTTCTTGAACAATATTCGTAAAAAGATATCTAACGTAGACAAGCAAGACTGCGGCATTTGTTACATCCGTCGATTCGTCAAGTTGAATTGCAAAATAATTCAATTTTATTCTTTTTAGAAGTTTCGTTCTCCACATAATTAGCCAAGTCATTAATTCTACGCGACACCGTGTTGTTTGATAAGGGAACTAGCTCAATTTTCTTTGCTGCCTTTTCCCCAAGCATACATTTGGCGATATCTTTCGCACATGGTCCAATTAAATTTTCTGCTATTGTATGCGCTTGTCCAGATCTTGCAATTCTATAACTTACTCGAAATGATGCTTCAAGGGCCATTTTACTATCTTCGTTTGAAGTCAAGAAAGAAGAAAGGCTACACTTTTTGATATCTGCTAATTTTCTTTTGAAATATTCAAGAGGTTTATCTTTGTGTGTCGGATGTTTGGTTTCAATGTATGTTATATGTTTACGAAGAAGTGATGGTTTTAAACTGCTGTTGGCAAGAACTTCGTTACGTATAACACAAAGCGGTTTAGGTTCCGACTCATCCCCAGTAAAATGAAAACCCAATTGTAGATAGTCGCTGTCATATTTTCGCTTTTTCCCTTTTCTATCAGCATTTCCTTTGTTTTTCGTCTCGTGAAACGGTACCTCATTACAGCTTTCAGTACTATCATCTCGATTATCATGTCTCGTTTCTAAACGACCCGTTTTCAAACATCGATCCATAATAAAAATAAGCTATAATAATACTTAATTTTCTTTTGATTTTAATGGTGTTTTAAAAAATCCGCCATTACAATATTATTTTCGCAAACACCTTCTGCAAACACTGCGAACCCCCGGTTGGTAATCAGTGATCTAGAGAAATCATGGAGGTAGGAAATTAGCCTTTCTTACCTCCATGAGAGAAACCCACCCCGTGGGGTAGACAAGTGACAAGCCTGGCGACCGTGTGTTTGAGTCCACTATGGTGTTCGAGGGATCAAAGTGGCCCGGCGGCACTCCCATCCGAAAGCACCGGCAGCTGCCATGCAGGCAGGGCCTATCCCTTTGGCGTGAGGGCGCGTAGCGATATTATGACAATGTTTAATCTGGTGAGAGATGGAAAGGTTATTTTCGATCTGATCATTCACTCTCCGGACCTACATCGTCTCGAGGCAGCGTCTACTTTGGTAGCTGTCGGAGGGGAATTTATTGATATTAAGCAAAAGGTTACAGACACTTGTTACCATGCTTATTGCAGTACATTTGGTGATGATAGTATATAGGTACAAGCTATTTAAAGTTGCTAATTGCAGATTAAATACATTATACGATTAATTATAGATTAATTATTCTTAATTATTGCGTGGTTCACACTGATAAATCTACATACTTCAAAAAAGTCACTTTATCTTTACGGACTTAACGCAAATCTCAATAAAACCACTGATAGACAAGCAGAGGAGTCTATTTATACGCAATTTAGATTTTTTTAGTAATGCTACTACCAGAGGAAAAAGATGAAGAAATTCTAACAACAGTTCTTCAGCACGCAGGCCTTAAATACAATTATTCAAAAACTTGATTCCTTCCTACAAAAACAAGCTTTCGCAAAAAATGCAATTAACTTTTTGCATACCTTTAAATATGTCACATTATGGAAACTTGTGGGCGAAATTAATGAAAAAACTCCATTTAACACAATTGTAAAGGATTTAATTATAGACTTTTGCAACTATAGGTTGAAAAAAAGTAATTTTTTCCTCAATAAAATTTTTTGTAGGGTACAATTCAAGCATTCTATTACATTTTTATGATCAACTAAAAATTCCTCACCTTTTTAAAAAATGTCAGTTTTTACTCCCTTACCAACAGCTTCAGGTTACACCTTGTTTTCAATTTGAAAAGATTTTAGGTAACATGGTTATTAACCACCGCGATGTTTTAGCTACTAACGTATAAAATTGCCAGCATCCTGATTTCAATCACTTCATAGATCCTTTTCACCGACATATTGTCACAGGAGATCTTAACATCATTAAAGATGATCCATTACGACAACTTATGCAACTTGGCACTAAATTTCGTCTAACTTTCGGTCTTAATAAACACTATTGCCTTAAGCAATTCCACAATGATCTTAATAAATTCATTATTTTAGCAAGTAATCGCAAATATAATCATGTCTAGAATTTTCGCGCATTAAGCTGCTGAAAAATTATCAATAAAAACATAAAGTAAGAAATTTAGAACAAATTTTTCACAAAGAGTAAAAGCTGAAATTCATAAGTAATATAAATTTCAAACAATCCTATAAATGCAATACAGAATTTAATAAATGTTAAAACCAAAATTCTTCAAACAAGCAATACCCCAATTCAAAAAATCAATAAAATGTAAATAAAAAGAATCAATAGAAGGGGAATTCAATCAACCTCAGTGCCACTTCGTCAGGAGGAGGAACTCTGAAATCAAGTAAAATCTCTCTTCCACAAAAATCCTTGCTTTTCTGTATCCAGGATTAGCCGCTAAACCGTTTCAGTGTATTTTATAAATAGTTTACCCGAAAATTCTGGTCCCTTCTTAAAGCAATGAAAAAACAAAGTGAATTCAAATAAAGAGAATTCTATTCAAAGAATTGAAGCGTAAGTGAAATAATAAAATACTTTAGTGAAAAATTCAAATCAAAAAACCATTCGTTCTGCCGATTGCGATAAAAGAGGGGACTGCACAACTATATGTTATATTAGTACCATATACAAAATTTCAACGTTCTATGTCTAATCGTTTTTGAGTTATGCATAATACATACATACATACGTTCCTAGGTAGAGAAGTCACAAAAAAAAATCATTTTAAATCCATTTTGCAATCCGTTTTGGAAACCAAACAATTTATATTAAGTCTTTTATACGGTCCATACGTACATACATTATGCAAAAAATCGTCCAGATGGATTTGGTAACGGTCAGAATAAAGATTTCTATTGAAATATGATACCCGAGATTTTTCCTGATTAAAATACTTGCTTTATTTCGCACAAGGAAGTAATAAATATTACTAAACCTCATAATCTTAATGCAGTGTTTTTGGAACATTTATTATGTAATTTATACTTTTAGATGTTACTGTAAGTTTAAAACCATTTTTTGTTTTCGTTAATTTAAATTAATGGAAAAAGTTTTTAATGTCTTTTATTGTGCATGCTTGCTATTGAATTTTATTTTTCCTTTCTATCTGATATATGTCAAGGCCATCAGCGGCCGAGTTATGTATTTTTGCCTTGTCGCGAAGTGAAAACTGAATTAATTGAATGAGAAATACTCAATCGTCTGTGAAAAACTGTTTCTTTTTCGTTTTGTTAGCTTAATTTCTTTTATACATCGTTTTAGCTTTGTTATAGTATTTGAATAGAACATGTGGCAACGATTAGATAATTCTTTAAATGATATAAATTTTGTGCATTCAGAGTTATAATATGAACGAAATATAATACTGTTAAGTGAACCTAGTGCCAGAGTGTCGCTATGTTAAACAAATAGAGTGAATTTTAAAGAATGCATTTATTCTATTGTGGTTTATGCGCTGTCGGCGAAGTAGGTTTAATTCAATCTAATAAGTTTAAATGAAATGCAAGAAAAAATGAGTATAATTTACTATTCCGTACAAGGAAGTTATGTGGTGTACACATCAGATTTTTTTCTTTTGTAATAGGTTGTAGTATCTTCCAGATAGTTGAATATGCAATGTCTTTAAAACCTGGGCAAAGATTTGCTTTAAACTTATGGCATCATAAAAATGTTGGCTTCACCGTAATGTAGCTGGATGTTGAAGAATTGCAAGAAACCTATTACAGTAACATCTTTTACTTCTCAAACATTCTAAGTCTGAGCAGACCACATTCATATTTGTATACTTTTCTTTGGACACCATCATAATTAAAATTATTTGTGCCAAGAAATTGGACATAAAGAAGTGTGGCAATTTAAGAGTTTCAGATAGTATCAGTTAACGGAAAGCTGCCAGAGTTATGTGTATTTTGTAAAGCTTCTTGGCAGCTATAATAACTGTAGTTGAGCATTGCATTGTATCTCCCAGGTGGGGAATGATTCCTTGTGATTTCAACAATTCTCATCGTCGAGAGCCGTTTGCAATGTTTGGATGGAGAACTAAAAATATATAAATGTCTGCTTAAAATATCAGAACAACAGATATTATGTATCTATATAATTTTGCAGTTAAAACATTCTCGAAGAAATTAAAATGGCAATTTAAACCAATTTTTCAATTAAAATTTTATGCCAGTATATTTGAACGTTTAAAATATTGAACAAGTTAATGTAAAATTGAATTTGCTCACGTCAGGCAGTTCACTAAATCAAGAAGATCCTGAGATGTAGAGCTGTGCTGGGAGTAAGCCGAATGGTAATTAATTCAGTAAAAAAATACCCAGCGAAAATTTCAAGAATTAGAAAGTAAATATTAATTGTTAAGTGATTAAAAGTATTTGTACAGCTTTGTTCAGAAATTTGCATCGGTTGTTAAAGTCTGTATACACGACTGTGCTCAGAAAATAATATATAGGCATTGGGAAATATAATAACTTTTCATAATGACTACATATATATTTGCCAAGTTGCGGTTTCGCTTTGGTTTATATGATAATGACACATAAGTCTGGCAGTCTATCTCGACACATAAGTCTGGCAGTCTGACACTAAATCTCAAGGACTATCTAAGTGGAGGGATGCCTTCCTGAAAGGCTTTCTAAGAGAAATTAGCTAGTAAGACGCGCTACACATGAAGAGAACCACGAAAACGCTCATGCAACTAGCCATTCGCGGGAATCGAACCTCGAACCGAACTACCAATTTTCAGCGATTTTACCGCTCGACCGCTTGTAGACCTCGCCAAACTGTGGACCTATGAAACTCGTAGGCCCTATATTATTAATACATTAGGTTATAAATCTGAAATGTGCCATGACTATCACAGCTTGGGTTTATTTAAATAATTATATTGCTTATTTATATTTAGTTATCATTCAAAAATTAGTTATTGAGTTCTGTACATAACTATCGGCACTATGAATAAAGCTTCGCTCTCTGATTTTTCGATACCGAAAAACTTTCCGAGTCACATTCGGATAATCTTCATACAGTATTATATAATAATATATTATTATTTAAAAAAAGAAACTATATTTAAAAGAAATTTTTATCTTGTATTACTTTATCAAGCAAGTTAATTTTAAACTGTTGATATGATCCGCACGTTTTCGATGCTATAGAAAGCAGACTTTTAAGTAAAATATATGCGATAATCTGCAATACTTTAGTAGCTGTTGAGTTATGATCTGTCATTTCTTCCAGTAGATACCATCCAGCACTCCCTGCATGCCTAAATAAACTGACATGTCAAACAGCGTAACAACGAAATTTTAATTTACATGCTTTCTTCTGCACGATTAGTTTAATATTAGAGTTAGAAACCAGAGCACGTCCTAGAATAGCATTAAATGCAAATGCTTACAATATCTTCTCCAGACAAGTAAACGAGGAGCCAGAAACAGGAATTGTAACTCAAGAAGCACTTTGAAATATTAACTCCGCATGAGTGGAAAGTAGACGAAGGGCTAAGAGCAAAGTTGTGTCGTCCAGAAGACCATTTTCCGGGACAACTAGATCTATTCTTTCATGGGCAACTGAGGTTAAAGCCATATTTATTATCAACCAAGTACCTTT